GTAGCTCTTTGCAGTCACTTCACATACCTGTGACTGCAAACTGGTGCGTTTGTAACGTGTTGGAGATGTTTGTCCTGCTTTTCTGAGGTTTATACACATGCCTTTGGGATAAATCAGATTTAGTTTTGTGGTTCTCCCATGTGAAGCTGCCATTTCAGTCCCACTAGAGGGCAACTGTTCCCTCAGTACGTGCTTGTGCTGCTTGATTTCAAGGGAATCCATTTTAAAGATTGACTCGCTTGAAGGAGGGAATAGATTAAGTAGCCCTGCTGCAGATTCTTCTGTGTTAAAGGTGAGTTGCTTTCCAACACTGATCAGTGTTTTAGCAGCGTTGCTCTTGCTGCCAGGACTTGTTCCAGCTGTGACACATATAAATGAAAGTTGGAAGTAGAGCACAAAACTGCAAAACCTTTTCTATGATACATGTGGGGTTTTTTAGCAGAGTAAAGTGTTCTGAGACAGCCTTCTCTACAGTAACATACAAACCCATAACAAACTGGGCAAATTTGTGCTTGAGCCTTTCATTCTTCATGTCCAAAAACCTTCTGAAAACTTCTTGGCGTAAAACAATGTTGATTGTACTACTAATAACTTTTGAGATCACGACTGCTTTGAAGGGAAAGTCTATGGAGAAGGAAGGAGGTAAGGCAGGAATGGAGAGGGTGAGAAGGCAAGGCAGAAAGGGAGCTCCAGCACTGAGAATGCAGATCTTAAGTCCTAAGACTCTAATCCTGGGTCTGGTCGTGTTTACTGTACAGGAGAAGAGACAGATGCTTTATTGAATCCTCTCCTTGGTGTTAACTTTTTTGTATAGCAAATCATCCCCCTACAAAAAAGGCCAATGATTATGGCCTGACATTTTTCCTGTGCCAAGATGTGTGTGGAGCACCTGTTGCAGGTCTATGGAAACAGCTCTAACCTTTTTTTTTCTTTTTTGTTTTTATTTTTAAAGAGAGCAATTGGTACTTTTATACAGTTCAGATGGGACTGGATGGTGGTTATCTGTTCACTAGGGACTGTGGCTGTGTCCAGTCTGTCCTAATTTATCTTCTGGTTACATTCACCAGCTACATAAAAGTAGCACTACCAGACTTGGGACAGTTAGGTTCAGTCACTCTGTAGGTTGACATGACTCAATTTTGGTAATTAACCCCCCTTAAGTGGCTATTATTTTTGTAGGGCTTGGCTGGTGGAAGGGTGGGCTTGTAGCAACCAGTCAGTGGGAGATGCCATCTTGCGCTGCAGTGGATTTATTGTTTACAACGTGAAATAAAGTCAGGTTGCAGGACGTGTTGGCAAGTTTTTGGGGGGGTGTTGTGAATGGTCTTGTGGGAGGTATGAGCTGGTTTGGCAGGAGAGAGATGAAGTTTTCTCTGAGCTTCCAACAGCCAAGAACTCCTTGGCGCAGTAGGTGCGACCGCTTACACAGCCGCAGTCTGTGATTTCTTTCCATTTTGAAAAGAGCTGGGTTTTTTTTGAAACTGGAAATACTTTATTTGCTACCTGGAACTTGGAGAATAACTTCATCTATTTCTGGTGTGATTTCTTTCAGGACTTGCCTTAGTTGATGAAGTATGTTTGCCTTTATCTGAATATAAGCAGTAATGAGGTGACAAATACTGCAAATCACTCAGAATAAAATTTTCAAAGGAGAAATCTATTTAGTACTTTTTCAGGAGAAAAAACTCCATGCAGGCTTTCTCCTTTAGAACTTAGTGTAATACAGGGCGGAGGGGGATAGAGGAAGATGTAGCTGTGTGATAGAGGCAGTATTCACCAACGAGAATAACTGTTTAGAAGTTACCTGTGTTGAGTTCAGGCTTTCTTCTGATTTTTAATAGTCCAGGTAAAGAGGAGTTATGTTATCAGAACTTTAGCTGAGGTATCTGGTGTTTCTGCAACTTTAAGAAGTAGATGCATTCTGTTTACAGCTGAGCAAGGCTATTTCAGGTTTCTGCTTCAAATCTGTATCTGCAAAAGATTAGTATTTGGTTCTAGTGTCTTTAAAATCATATTTTGAGTAATTTTTTAACATGCAGTTTGGATTTTAAGTGTGCAGTAGACTCTTAAGGGAATATAAACTTAGTTGTGGGGGATGTACTAGTAGTAGTAGATGTGAGATATCAGAACATTTGGAGGGCACATAGTATAACTAAAAATAATTGGATAGTTAAAACTCTTCAAGCATAGTCTGAATATTCTGTAATGTCACATACACTCAGAAAGCTGTGCATATGTAAAGTACTGCATGTTCTCATAAATAAATATGTTCAATAGCCTGTTTTGTAAAAGTTTGGGAAGGAGGAAAAAAAAAAAGCCCTGCATTGGGTAAATGTTTCATGTTACAGTGAACTTGGAAGTATAGTTTGACTTTTTTCCTAGAGTATTTTCTTCAACTCTTTTCAGAACAACTCTTCGACTTCACTGTCATGCAGGAAGGATTGCTTTGTTGGAAGTTCATACTCTTGATAGTTTGTCTGTTCATACTTGTTTTAAATTTTTGGTGAGGTAAATTGGATGTTTGAAGGAAAGATGCTTATACTGGACCTTTTTCAAGTTGTTGGTTCTTCTTTCCTATTTCCTCTTAAACCCAGTCTTGGTCAGAGCCAGATAGTAAACTTGTGCTATGCCAACTTTGAGTTCATCTGTCATCATAATTTTGGTCTTCTTAGTGTTCCAGCATATATATTTTATTCTAGAATCACTTGGGAGTGAGAACAGCAGCTCCACACTAGTAAAATATGTCAATGTCCAGCTCTCTCCCAGACTCATTTAGCTCACTTACTCATACAGTTGTATTTTGGAGCCATGCTGGAAGGTTTTGTAGCCTTCAATCTCCCAGAATAATTGGCAAAGCTTCCTTTTTCCTTTCAATAAAGTAGTGCCTATTTTTATAAGAATTGAATACTGCCCTTGTTCTCCAGTGCTTTGAAGAGTTTTTGTGGAATGTTCCCCCCATGATAATTTTCCTGTTAAACTTTATAACAGAAAATTGAAATGTGCTTGTACTTTATTTTATGCTGTTGCCTTGGACTCATGTAAACTGGTCTCGGTGATTATTATGTACGTTTTTTCCATCTTTAGTGCACAGTGCTGTGGTAAACAGTCTTTCCTTTCACCCCTCTGGAAACTATCTGGTTACTGCTTCCAATGACTCAACTCTTAAAATTCTGGACTTGCTAGAAGGAAGACTTCTGTATACTCTTCATGGTCACCAGGTGAGACAGCCTTTTCTACAGTAACATACAAACCCATAACAAACTGGGCAAATTTGTGCTTGAGCCTTTCATTCTTCATGGCCAAAAACCTTCTGAAAACTTCCTGGCATAAAACAATGTTGATTGTACTACTAATAACTTTTGAGATCACGACTGCTTTGAAGGGAAAGTCTATGGAGAAGGAAGGAGGTAAGGCAGGAATGGAGAGGGTGAGAAGGTAAGGCAGGAAGGGAGCTCCAGCACTGAGATGCAAATCTTAAGTCCTAAGACTCTAATCCTGCGTCTGTCGTGCACTCTCTGTACTGCAGCTCTGATTGTCTCCCTCTCTAGAGTGGTACAAATAACACTTGGCCCCCTGACACAGGTGTTGTGAAGATAAATGTTAGTCACCTGACAGGAGACTTAAGGGCAGTAATGGTGAAATGGAGGAAATATATTTTGGAGTGGGATTTGGGAACATGTTTCAATTTTGTTGATGGACTGAATTAAGTAATTGAAGGTGATAAATGCTGCTGGTTGGTTAAGTTTAACTGATTGTGCTGTTAGTATAATGCTGCTGGATGTGTTGCTTGTAAGGTTAATTATATGAATGCTTGGAGCTCTCTTTTTAAATGTTAAATGAAAATAGATAGACTAATTTCATTGTCCATGCTGAGTGGGGCTCAAAGGCATGAAAAAGCAAACCTACTTTAAAGGTTCCCTTTCTAAAGGGACAAATAGAACAGAAATTCTTAACCCACTTATATCTGTTAAAATCAGGGCTGGGTCTTAAAGCATCAAAACTGGCTGGGGAAAAATCACAGCCTGAAGCTGTTGAGGGTGCTGGAGATGGTTCTGGGCAATAATGGTAGCTGTGTAGCTGCAAAACTGCTAATTCTGTCTTCTTGTGGCTTTGTTTAGTGACTGCCTTGCCTGATGTCTAAAAAGGTCAAGCTTGTTCTGTAACTTCTCTTATACTATGTGCTAATTAACTTTTCTCCTTTTTTTTGTACTATTAATGGAAAAATGGGATAACCTCATGCTTAAAGCTCTACTTCCCAGGAAGATCTGATTAAAACTGATCAAAGGGTTCAAATGCTGAAAAGAATGAGGGAAGGATAATAAATGGTGGCTATCTTAACACATAAACATCAACTGCATAAAACTTCCTTACTTTGAAAACTGGACTAAGTGAATACTCCTATTGGATAGGGCTGCAAAGCTTCAGACTGTTGTCCTGATCTTGTTTTCATGTTTATCTTTTGTGTTAACTGGCCAAGTGTGTGCTTAAGAAGTAGCTTTCTGGAAAAGGGTAAGTGTGGAGGGACAGTAGATCTTCGCAGCTCTCATCCTTGCCTCAGGAAGGAATGTCTCTGGGTATTGTTCAGTGGGAGGCTGAACTTGCTTTCCATTTCCCTTCCTTCTGAACTGTAGGCTGCTCCTTGACGAGTGCAGTGGCACAAAAAAGTTTTGCTTTGAATGAGAGTCCAAAACTGATGATGGTGATGGAGATCTTCAGAACTAGACAATAAGTAGACGACAATAAGTAGACGACAATAAGTAGGCTGATGCTGTACTTAACTCAGGGCCTCTGTGAAACAGTTGGTTTGTGAGTGTTCTGTTCAGAACCAGAGTTAAAGCTGCGTGTTATTTCCACCCTCCACTGTTTCAGATCAGTTAGATGTCTGTCGCTCTTCCTTGGGCATTTAACTGATACTGGAAATGCTTTGACACTGGCACAGCTGGAGGATAGTTGCCATTGTGGGATTGCACCTCCTTTGGTTTGAAAGCAAGTAGAAGTACAGAAGTAGTTGTTAGTGCTTCTGGTCTTTAAGGGTATTGCACTGAGACAGGCATTCGCTCTGCTGGCGTGTGCTGTGTTGTGTTGAGAGGTTTACCAGATACCTTGCTTTTTTACTAGAAGTGCTTCACTCACAGTAAGCAACCAGTAGTGACAACAGGCTCTGCTTTCATCAGAAGCTTCTGGGGTGGATTCCTGCACTTGCTGCTTCTTTAGCCTGCTGTGCTTGTAGATAAACCCAGACTACTTAATACTGAGAGCTTTTTTTTTTCCCCCCCCTCCAGTTTCACTGTGATTTTTGACAATATTTCCAAGTGGCTAAAAATTAAATAGGTGTGCATTTTTTTTGGTCATTCAGTAGATGTGCCTTTTTAAGCGATGGCTGTAGGTTAGTCACCACATGAACAGCCTAATCTGAAGACATTCTTGAGTTGTGACTTTCTGTGGGTGAATATGCTGGTTGAGACTTTGTTCTTACTCTTGACAGCTGACTGCTGTTATGTTGTTCTGGGAAGGCTGCATGCGAGTGGACACTTGAAATATAAAAAAACCCCAACTGTACAGTCCTTTAGACACACATTGACGCAACTGCTGGAGTGCCAGGAATTTGTTAGCAGCTGATTAGCTGTAGTTTACATAGGGAGGATTGCCAAGTTTACATTGCTGTCTTTAATTGTCATGTAGCTGGCCCTCTTGTAGCAGGAGGATCGTTAGAGACAGGAGTTTGCAGCTTGGAGCTGACATCTTGCAGCTGCAAAATATCATTCTGTATTGTGCTGCATATTTTAGTTCTGGAGTGCTTCAAGCTGTGAAGTACTCTTGCTTAATTCCATACAGATGAGACACCGGGTTGGTATGTAGGTCCACCTCTGGTACTGAATCATGGTCCAGGAACAGAATGTTTTGGGAGCTGTAAGTCACCTCAGGAGGGTTGCTGGAGGAGAGCAGGTATGTACACAGAGCCTGTCTGCCCTTTGGGGCAGTTTGATTAGAGCATTTCCAGACTGGCTTCCTTAGTGGAGTGGAAGTTCTCAGTAAATATTTAGAAAACATCTGCATGGTTATGTTTGTAAATAGGAAGACAGAAGATGCAAAGTTACATTTCTCCAAGCATCCTTGACTTGAATCATGAAGTAGCTACGTTCCACCTACCTGGGTGGCGTAAGTGCTCTCTGCTTTGCTGGCTGACTAGAGAGCAAGATCTTCTGAGCAGGTGCACAAGCAACAACTGTCCTTCTTCACTGTCTGCTGGCAGCTCTACCCAGGTGGCATTAAACATCCATGCAGACCTAGCTGGCTTTAAAGGGTGTGAGGACATCTCAGAGCTGCACAGAACGGGATCAGCAAAGGGGAGGGGGTGTGTGCAAACAACAAACAATTGATTTTAGATCAACATTTCCGAACATGAAAAGGAAATGTGAGTGCTCTGTTCTTCCCTTGTCTGGTGGTGGTTTTGGGTTGGTTGTTTTTTTTAAACTGAAGCTTTCAGGAGTTAAAAAGCTACTGAAGTTTCAATTATAACACACCAGTGTAAGTTTTCCCTGTGTTAGCTGTAGCCCTTACTCCCTAGTGAAGGAAGGTACAGGCGTGACAGTCTTGCTGTGTACTGATACAGGAGTTTTTCAAAGCTCAGTGGACTAAGAATCCTTGTGACTTCTTGTCAGAGGTATTCTGCTTGAAATCATCCCTCGTTGCCATTGGCTTCTGTCCCACGTTTTTCTCCTTGCTTTTCTTTCACTCCCCCTTTTTCTCCTTTGTGTTAACACCCCCATTGTGCAGTTTCTAGGAATCTGCCCTTTTTTGTTTAAACACTTTTCTTGTCCTTACTGTTAGAGATGTGGATTCTTTCTACAGCCCCTATCGCTTTCCACTCCATCCCTGCTAAAGGACAACACTCAGCTCTGTCTTGTACCTCTTGATTTGCCAGTGTGCAGTGCCTGACACCTTTTCCTCTCTCCACATCATCTTTGGGGTATCTGTGTTGTTTGTAAAAAGACAACAAATATCCACAGTTTTAATAGCTTCCTCTTTTTCCCAGCTCTTGCCTCTTTCTAAGACTTGGAATCTTCTGTGTGATGCTTCTTCTGCAGGATACATGCTGCATCCTGTACCCGATTGTGAAACAGGTGTGTGTAACTGTCTCCTGTCTTACCCCTTGTATTTCTCCCCGCCTCTTTCTTCTACAATGTATCCTGCTGTTGTCTTTCACCTTTTTGGGATGAGATGGAATAGCTCTGTGTTTCCTCGCTGTAAGTTTGTAATTGATCCTGAGATACAGGCTCAGTGCTTCTGCCTTACCAAAAGGTTTGTTAATTTGAATTGGTCTTCGCTGAACTCGCTTCACTGCTTCATCTGCTGCTGAAATCAAGTGATAGGTGAAAGGCATGACATCAGCATCTTGTCTCAGGTACTCTATGTTCCTTGGCACTCAAATGCATTTATCAAGCTTCTTACTTGCTCTTGGTGTTTTTGCTAATTATCTTGATCACTTATTTTTTGCATCTTTTGCTCCTCTACCCTCTCTTATTTCAATGTCCATCTGTCCAAGTGTGACTTGTCCTCTTCTGTGCCATGAAGCAGTTGAAAGCACTGTGAACAGTGGCAATGACTGCTCTGTTTATTATTATTTCTTTTATGCCTTGAACTGATGATCCCAGCGTGCTTGTTGCTGCCTCTGATTTTCTTCTCAGACCTCATCACCACTTGTCTCCTTTTTCTCTCTGCACTTGTTAATTCCAGGAGAGTTTGACTGAAGGTACTGGTTCATATCTTCCCACTTCTACATCGCCTCTTGAGAGCAGTGGAAAGGGAAGATCTCCTTTAATTCAACTATTCACATCCTATAGATAAGCCTTGTTCCAGCTCTTGGCACCTCCCTTGCTCTCTTATCTGGCTCTTTTCTGGTATGCATTAGTTTCTTCCAGGATTAAAAAAAATAAATAATAAATAGTAATAAAAAAATCTACTGGCATCCCTGCCCTCACTTGTCTCTCCAGCTACCTTTCTCTCTGCATTTCCCTTCATTGTGCAGACTGTGCATCATTAAACTACTTTCCTCTGGTTTATTCCTGGACCCTCTCCAGTCTGGCTCTTGTTTCTTCTCTTACACTGAAGCCAAAATGTTAGCTCTGTTCCTAGCTGAAGCTCTCAAGTCTGGCCTCTCTTGACTTGAATTGACTGCTGGGGTTGGCCCTGCTGTTCCTGAAATTGTGTGCTTCTG